TATAGGTCTTGCTAAGTATCAAATGTATGATGATGATGGAGCTCTAAATTTCTACCGTCGATCATTAACATCCTATAAGAAATATGCATCAAATTGTTCGGATGTTATTGCATGCCTGGATAGGGTAATTTTAATTTTAGCAGGTCAAAGGAAATATGGTGAAATTGTGGATACTCAAAAGGAAAAATTGACAATTCTTCAAAGTAACATACCTATCGATCAAAAGAAAGTTGCGAAATGTTTGAATGATATCGGTGTCACTTTATTTGATCAAATGCAGTTTGATCAATCGATCGACTTTTGTCAACAAGCATTGACCATACTGGAGGAACATTATCCATATGATTATATGGAAATAGGTGTTTGCTTATCATGGCTCGTTGCTAACTGGAATAGAAAGGCTGAGTATGATCGTGCTGTTGAATGTTTACAACGATGGCTGCAAATCATGGAAGCTAGCCTACCTGTTCATGAACTTTACAAACATGAAGTGTTCAATTGGTTACTATTGATATCAAGAAATAGAGAGCAACATGAGCTATCGCTTATCTATGAACGAAATCGTTTGCTCATGTGTCTGCAACATCTACCATCAGATCATGAACATATTGGCAATAGTTTTGCAGCTATAGGCGAAATTTACGAAAATCTTCATCAACCGAATTTCGCATTGGATTTCTATAAACAAGCATATCTTATGTACAAGAATTGCTTGTTCTTTTTCGATGATCGTTTATTGATGACAATCTTAAATATCGAGCGACTCTCGGAAGAACTTGGTATATAATTCGATGAATTAAATGAATCTGGATTTTTATAATGCATAATATTAATCGTGACAATGCTTTGATCTATTGAATTTTAATCGAATAAATCTATTGCATACAAGCGAAATTCATTCGGAAGTTGAAAGGCGCAAAATAAAATAAGAGAAATTTTTATAAAGTATTTTATTCAATACTTATCCATTCGCAAAATCGACAATCTGATAGGCATGAAATTTTATTCGCTCCTCTAGAAATTTAACATTGCACTGATTCGCTTAACAATTTGATAGTTGTTCTATGCATTTAAAACTCGTCAAATTGAATTAATCCATCTTTTGTTCCTTGGATATATTTAAGAGCTTGTATAACTACAATTTTCCTATTTCGAATGTGTCAGGAGTCTGATTATGTGTTTTTAGTGAATCAAAATAAAAAAAACTTGATGAAAATTGGGGTGTGGGTGTCAGGGTGAGTCAAACGAAGGAACTCGCTCTCCCACTCGTACTTACTCCATCACCCTTCTTAGTGACTTGCCCAGAGACTCGTCAGTGTTTCGTCAGGTTTGGTAACGCCATGTTGGCAATGTTTTCAATTAACACGATCTGAGGAAATGAACTATTTCTACACATCATTTTCCCCCAAAAGAGAATCTCTCGCATGTCATTCGTTTATTCCTTTTATCAAAAATCAGGGTGTGGATGCGGGTGAGGGGTGGGATGTGAGTGTGGCTAGGGTGTGGGTGTGAATGTAGAAGAGATGCACCCACACCCACACCCTTTTGCGTCTGTTTCCTCTATCAATCGTTCAATTTCATTTAGTATATTCATTGTACTCATGGTCATGATTTTGGTGAACATTAACTAGTTTTCCCCTGGTATGATGTCATCGGTATAAAGGTATACGGTATCGGAGGAATAGATAATGGAAGGACACCAATGCACGTCGATTGCTTCATCACTGCTTCGATCTCGATTTCATTCTGCTGATTTTCTCTTCCATGTGATTCTTTCTTTGTTTGTTATCTTAAACTTATCTGTTGATACCTATTTTCGTAAGCGTCCACCAAAACTTTATAAAGAAGCCACCAAGAAACAAAATATGGTTTTCATGAAAAACATCAGCATAATCAAAAAAAAAATAATTACAGTTCTAGCCGAAGTAACGAATTTAGTCGGAGAAAATGTTGTTTACGATCAAGCAACCAGTTCCAATAATAACTCAGCATCGACCTCAAAATTTTTATAAAATGAAATACAAAAAGAAAATACAATGAACGATGTCAATGTAAACCATCGATTGATAAGTATTTTAGTGGTGTTCGATATTCTCTTTCTTTTCTCTAATAGTAATTGAATATGTGACTCATCTGTGTCTTACCAGGTTAACAGTATTTGTTTTCTTTTTAATCATTATCAGAGAGGACACATCGAGTTTTGATTTTATTACTCAAAAATAATTTATCTGAGTTTAAAAAGACTGAATGTCGTCTTTTTAGCTGATTTAAATCATTTGTTTTTGCCCTCAAGGTTTTCTTGGGGTCATTATATAATTTAAATGTCGTCAGAGATTAGCAAATACTAACAATAGCAAGATCTAACAAATCTAATCCTGTTTTGTTTTTATCTCTATAAAAACTTTAGAGATAAGCGAATCTCTCTCTTTACTTAATATCATGAGAATGTCAAACGAAAAAGCATTTTTAAAGAGCAATAGTCATTGACAGTCAATAAATACCAAGGTATTCTTTTTTTACGATCTAGACTTTTGTTCTAAAGGTTTGGTGATTCTTACTATTCTTGAGATGATTTCTCTCTGCAGCTTAGACCAAGAAGCACTGCTAGTTCCAACTTGAAAACTCGAAGGCAGTATGTCTGGCGAAAAAGCTAGTCTTCTTCCATCAATTTGCTATCAGTTTCTACTGAAAAGTATAAAAATTAGGCTCGAATGCATCAGAAAAATAAATGTGGAAACCTCGGATTTAAATCCGAGAGTTATGTGTACTTCAAAAAGTGAATGAGGCAGATGAGTCATCCTAGAATGTGGAGACATAAAAATTATCCTGGCAAACTTTTTCTATAAACACTTGATTTCTATTGGCTACTGCTCAACCAATAGGATTTGGGGTAAATACAGCTCAGATTTGAACTCTTCGTCTTGATTTACCCTAAGAAAGTCTTTTTTCCTATAACTTGATTGCTATTGGTTACTGCTCAACCAATGGAATTTCGAGGCGAATGGAGCACATATTCGAGTTCTCCACCCCAGAAAACCTCGAACTATCATCTGTATGATCGGAAGATAGAGCTCTAATTGTAGATCAATTAGAGCGTGGACAAGAACAAAACCAAATTCCGTTTAATTATCTTTGCAATAGGTGAGTTAGCTTTCTTGTTTCTTTATGTTTTATATACCATTTTGTAGCTCGTGAAATTCTCTATCGAATGGTATATAATAGTTGGGGTTTTATTTAACTATGATAGGAAAAGTTGTTTACGAAAGCTGGGATCGGTCGATTTTCGCATAGGAAGCCATAGGGAAAAATGACTATTTTTGCAATAACTCACGAATGGCTCGGTCGATCATGCTCATCTTCGAACTCGACCGAGATATTGTTAAGACTAAACTGTGTAGAAAATTTCATCGTGATCGGACTCTCCTTTCAAAAGTTATCGTGTTAACGGCCGGACGGCCGGCCGGACGGCCGGACGGCCGGCCGGACGGCCGGACACACTGACCGATTCTAGAGTGTACTCACTTTTTGAGTACACAAAAACAAGAAAGTATCCGGTCAGAATATTGCTTCTAGTTTTCAACAATATTCCACGCTTGTTTATGAAATACAATGACTTTTCTCGCATTTTCCTATCAGATTCAGTCAACCATGACAAAATTCAAGAGATTTGCTCATTCACTTCTTTAGAGTAATACACGTGCGTACTTTGCTATATATTCACTTATCTTCATTATCAAATTGAAATTATGTTTAATATTTTGTTTCATCTTAATATTTTTTATATTTAGTTGTCTTTTCACTTAAATCAAAACTTACCGTGTATATTTCATGCAAAAATAAGATTTTGAAAAAGATTCAGACTAGCTATTCGAATTTATTTAATGATGTAGGTGTTATTTTGCTTTTAAACAGGTTGCGATAGCCTATTTATGATGCATATTTCATTAATATTGTATAATTTGAAAATCCTTACATTGACTGCATCGATTGCCGTTGTTATATCCAACACGGTTACATGCAAAAGTTAATTTCAACAAAAAAGTGGAAAAAACTTGATATTTTTAATAATAAAATTTTTATTGAAATATCGCTACATGATGAGAACAATAGTGATTTTATACTACAGCTACCCCATAGGATGATTTTAATCGTTCATGTGAAGCCATAATGATTGAGTTTGTATCCTATAGCGAGGATCAATTCCATATGTAGTTTTCATATTCTGAAGTCATGTCTCCAAAATTTTCCCAGTTAAGAAAAAAAACATATGTTAATTTAGATTTATTTTCGAGTATACGAACTAGCATCATTCATCTTAAACACATTTTTATAATTCCAATTAATTTTTCCTTGCATCTGAATCAGCTGCAGCATACAAAACTTTTGTCTCATCTTTTTGTATAACGTGAATAAAACATTAAACCTTTAACATACATTTAGATAGTCTATTGAAATTCTGTTCTAAGAAAAAATAATATGTATAACATAAGCCACTTTCTAACACATAGACCGGCACTTTACTTAATTAGACAGAATTGCTTGAATATTGTGATTCTGATTAAAAGAATCTTGATCATTGTCTAAGAGTATGTATGTATGTATGTATAGAGCATTATAAAATCGAATTCTAGTGGGAATCTGAATCTGACAAAAGCACTGCTGTAAAAATAACAGAATTCTACGCAGAATTATAGTTTGATGATATCAGTAAAAGGAGAATGAACATGTGAATAATGATGCATGTGTATGGTAAAAAACTTTTCAATTCTGTTCGTGAGCATTCTAGTTATCATCTCTCAAGTAATAAATACTATATTTTATGTGTTAATTTTACTTTCTTTTATCTATACGATAACATTTCTCATGTAAAAGCAATAGATGCTAACAATATAACTGTAACATTTTCGTCGATAAACACTTTCTTTTTAGTTTCATAGACATATTTTATCCAATACTTCTTGGTTAACTCTGGTATTCATTATTAAATTAGTACATCTTATATGTTATCAATGCAACCTTTCGACGGAAATGAAACGATTATCAAATCAAATACTTGTCACATATCTAAGAAGCTTTTTTGGTTAATTTCATTTTTAGTCGTTGCCATTGTCTTAGTTTTAACTTCTTTGACGATATATTTTGGTGTTCGTTCACAAGAAGAAACCGTTGTTGATTACGAAACTTCATCAATATCAACAAGTATTCATCATCAAAATGAAATAACTAGTTCGATTGAATTAACGACTGTACAAGATCGTCCTCTACCTGTAGAACGAATACCATTTAATTTAAAACCCGAGTTATATCAGTGGACTGTTACACCTGATCTGATGACAGAAACATTTAAAGATAAGCATATGTTTCCATACGGATAAAAGAATAGAAAATATTTAATACTTTATCATTTTTTCAAAATCAAGTTCCTAAGGAGCATTTCTTCAATTGGCTAATACGTATGGAACACTGCATAAATACAATGAACTTTTGATAAAGCAATATCCTTAAAGAGTCTGTTGTAAAGTATCTAACATTGGCGTTGTTGTCATCGAATTGAATTCGCTGTAATTGATATTTGAGAATAAAAGAAAATTACAGAGATTAATATATGAAGAACTAAAAAGAGAGACTTCGAAAGTTACGTATTTGTCTTCTTTTTGACACAATTTTGAAGATTAATGGTACATATATAGTTGTTGATACATCAGTTCCTCCTAATATCGACTTGATCAAACTATGTTTCGTCCGAGTTTGTGTCGCTGGAATCGAATGAGAAAACGAAGACTCATTGTCAATTATGATGTCCGAATAAAATGCACTACTGGTTTTTTTTTTTGCATCAAGTAATTCATGCCGCATTTACTAATTACAAGCTTTACGTGACTTAAACGTAGTGCTAGACATGTAATTACCAAACCTAAACTCATTTTTGTCAAATCCTACTTTGCCTAAAATATTTTTATTTTAGTTGAGGCTAATGTCTCACTCTATACTTCATACGATCAATCATTGAAGGAACTTTACCCTAAATCCCTATACCCTGTAAAAAAGCTTCATAGAATAATAAACCTAACAAGGGTTGATGAAAGTCCAACTTATAATAAACCTTTGCATCAACCTTCAAAAAGTATTTATGATAGTCACTAAGTATGGATAACATTGAGCAAAGGGTTCAGGAAATGTATATGAAACTGATTTATCGTATAAACCGACTTTCCCGCTGATCGTTTTTGTCTGACAGCATTTTGCCTTACATGACAACAACGCACTTAAAGAACTATTGATGCCATGACTCACAATTGTCGATATTCGTCTAAAGAAGAGCGAATCCGAACTGATTCAAATAAAGCTCCTCAGGAAGTTTATATTGCCAAATAATCTATTTGACAAATCAAACTTTACTCCGAAGCTTTATTTAAATCAGTTCGAATTCGTTCTTCTTTAGAAGAACATGGAGAGTTGAAGGTCATGACACCAATAGTTCTTTCAATTCGTCGTCGCTATGTGAAAGAAAATGTTGTCAGGTAAAGTTGCTATATTGAATTACTTTTCGATGTCATTTCTCATTTGTAATTGCGATGAATCTAAATAAAAAAAAATAATTACTTGTAAGGTCTTCACACGTACATTATTTTTAGCTTCATATTGAACTAAATGAAAGAATATATATTTTTATATAAATAAGAAATAGGTGTTGTCAAGATGTTGTCGCGTTGAATGGAAAAAGACAAAAAACATAATTATTTATAAAATTTTCATACTAACGATATTTTTATATTGATATTGAACTAAATAAAGAAAACAAATACATATATTTTTGCAATTTTATTATTTAAAATATTTTGAGTTCAATAGTCAGCAAAGTAATAGAGAAATACGATAGTATTTAGGTAAAATACTGTTGTGATATGTTATCGAATCTAAAGAGAATAGAGAAACCCTCAAGAACATGTTAGAATAAAAATAAACTTTTCATGAAACAGTAGAATCAAAAACTTTCTTCATGAAATAGTAGAACGATAATCTCTTGTGTAATAACTTTAGAAAATGTCGTGCTTCTTAAAATGTTCCTTGACAATATTCTATGATGCAATGTAATCGAAAGATGAATTATTTTTCTCAGTCTCGCTCGTACTTCCAGTTGCACTCGCCCTCTCATTTACAGCCAGATGTCAAGACTTTTCAAGATTAATTTCAAATGTTTCGAAAAACAAAAATTAAAAGTAATTGCTTTTATATGGATTATCGAATAGTTTTAGACACGATAGACCGAATTCTTCCTCTACTTGCTCCTACTTCTGGGCATATGTAGTTTCCACTAATATTGATGGATCGTACTCGATTCACAATGTACGATCCCAGCAGATGTAACGGTGACTGCGATAAGCAATGAAAAGATGAATCATCTTGTTAAATACAGTGGTTTCAACTTCTGACTCAGCAAAGCATACATAGACCAATTAGTTATTTCCATTTTAAGGGTCAGTTTGTCGGAGTTAAAGATAAGATCACATTGATGATTGATTAGATGAAGCATAGCATTTGACTTTAGCTTCCATTTTAATTAAAAGAAAGATTTTCTACATATGAAGTGGAACCTAAACCTAACTGTTTGAGTTTACAGTGTATATCTATCTAAAACAACCATTATTTGTTAACATGTTGAATGAAAATCATTTTCTATCCTTATTTGTTACCTAATATCTGGAAATTATTTGAACCGATAACATCTTCATTACAACAACTATTTCACTGAACTTAATTAAAACGATGGAGGACTATGAAATAGAAGCAAACGAGAAAATACTTTTAAAAACTTTTTATTGATTTGTATCATCATCTGCTTTTCTCTTCAACTGGTCTTTCAGGTGATCTTTTATATACATTTACATGTCTTGAATCAACAAATAAATTAATTCTTCATATGGCTGGCTTGAATATAGACAACTCAAGTATTAATATCGTCAATTCATCATCTAGTGTCAAGCCAGTCTTTTATTCATGGTCTTATGATGAGTATAATCAATTTATGATAATGAATTTTATGCCTAACTTTCAGCCAAGCATAACCTACATAGTGCACATAGCTTATTCGGCTAACATTAATCGTGATCTTCAAGGTCTTTATTTAAGTGATTATACTGATGCTAATGGAGTCAGCCGGATCTTGTTAGTTTCTCATATGGAGCCAACGTTTGCTCGAACTGCTCTTCCATGTGTTGATGAACCTGCACGTAAAGCTATATTTTATATTGCTGTGGGTGTGGGTGTGGGTGTGGGTGTGGGTG